AACACAATGAAAACGTTCCTTTGAAGTAAATAACTGTATTTTGTCCCTAAAATGGATACAGACTAATGTTACTGACACTAACAGGAATATTTTGCAAACAGTATTAGGCATGCAATAATAACTCTAACCTATTTTTCAATAACTATTAGAGTATCAAAGTATTGTATAATTACACTAAGTCTCCCACTAATGACATCTTTTAATCTACTGTAATTTAGCACATCCCTCTAGCCTCTCACACCCAAATAAAGTCTCTGATTAATGGAAAACTGAAATTAATAGCATGTCTCCCATCCTCCCTGGCATGTTATCAGTGAGCAGAAGTTCCATACCTAAATACGTTGCATTTGAAGAAAACTGACCAGCCACAGTCAGAAAACCAGGTTGGAACATATGAATCATTGCAAGCTCTTAGTCACAGACCAGTCTGCTACTACCTTCACAAGGTTTGCACAAAAGGCTGAACAGCTTCTCTTGAAGGAGCAGTGTGTAGGATTTTGTTTGTCCAAAAGACCTTTTCTAAGGATCCTTGTGATGAGAACAAATTCCTAATGTTAAGTTACACTTGTCCTTTATGAAAAGCAGAAATCTGTCCCAACACGTTTTAGAAACTGTTATGTAAGGAAAACAATAACTGCATGTAGTGGCAATCAACATGAGCTGCCATGCATCTTCCAGAAGACCCACTGAATTAAAACCAGTGTGGCACACTTTTCCCCCTCATGGATTGGCTGTTTGTTCCTGTGAAAAGTACAGCCCTGCATTATATTTCAATGTTTGAAATATAATGCAGATGTTTTATGTAATTGCTGTAAGATCCCGATTCTTCACACACCAAGACTATGGCTGTGCCCCTCTGTCTGACTGAATTAGGTTATTGTGCCGATTTAATTTCCAGAGGGAACCACCCGGGTGGTAAGAAACATCATTTGCTAATTAACAAGAATGTCTCCTGGCGTTTTCAAGAAAATGATAGTGCTCCCAGAGGCTTGTTCAAAGTTAAGTTCTGATAGAAAGTGTTGCTGTAAACAGTAGTAGCCTGCTTTTAACAAGTCCGACATGGATTGAATTGTCCAGCAAGTGCAAAAGTAGAGAGAAAAGCAAAGTGATCCAAGTATGCTCTCAGTCAATAGCTGTTCTGTTTCAAACACTGCCGCCTGCCCTCCACGGTTCTGGTGCTTTAGATTCTCAGGTGATACAATCCTGGCTATTGGCTGTAACTACAAAATAGCTAATTTGACATAAAATTGTGTTTGCATATACGAGTGTTGAAATGCAAGAGAGTTGTTGTTTTTAAACTTAAAACATCAATTCTTGTGGTTGAAGTATTTCAGGAATGTTCACATTCAAGTGTATTCGAATGAATTCCAATGCAAGGCTGTACTATCGAACGCATAAACAAATCAAAGACATGTTCTGCGTTGTTGTCTTTGGTTATTGTGCTAGTTTACTGCTATTGTGGTAGTATACTTATCCACGAGAGACAAACCTCAGACTCTCCACAGAGTTTGACTAACTCCACAAGGCTGTAGTAGCTGCCAGTAGCTCCTCACAGGACGCTGATTGGTCTGTGCACTAACTTACCGGGTGCAAACGCATTACTTGAAGCCTGAAAAGAAGTGTTTTTGTATGATTTGTGATCCTACGATTCTTGCATCTAGAGATTCAGCTGCCATGCAAGGTAACCTCAGTATAAAGCTGCAATAATGGAGTCAATGTGCGTGGGACAGAATGCGTGTGGATGTGAAGTTGTAGCCTGCTATTGTTGTGTTAATGCGCTTGAACAACCTGTACAACATGAGCTGTTATATGAATAGTTGTTGTTTTTCCTCTTTACTCGTGTTGCTGCTAAGAAGAACAGCTACATTGTCAGCCTGAAGCTTCATGTTAATAAATGATTACAGGAAAATGATTTCGCTGAGTTTAAAAGCAAATGAATCAGGTCAGGTTATATAATCGTAACTATCAAGGTCAAATAAAGACACAGTTATTAAAGATGGTTTTAATGTAGATGGTATAATGACGCCTCACTTTATTACAGGTGTAGCACACTAAAACAGAAAGTCCCATGAACTAGTATATTATACAAAAGAGGTCCTTGTGGTCCATGTTGTAATGACACCATTGATGTGGTGTTGAGGGGGCAGCCAATAGAGCCAGCTAGTATTAGTTTTATCAAGTACTAAAAATGCTAAAGACAACATACCTCTGTAGTAAATAGTCTGTATATCTGTTTTTGGGATTGCATTTATCTTTTTTCATTTAATATTTGCCGCTGGCACACTAGACTCTACCACCAGCCAAATGTTTGTTTCCTTTTTCGTGAATAAGGAAGAGGTAAGTCGGTTGAAAAAACCAATTACAAAACCCTAAAAGCTATAGAACTTTTACTGTCAGCTGGACAGTAAAACTAACGTTGTGCTACAGTTGCTCATTGCCAATAACTATTTTCTACACTTGGATGGTATATCTAATACATGGAATTAAGAAGTCTTGTAGAAACCTTGTATCATCTAAAAGGCAGTCATAGAGGTTTTCCACATTTAGAAAATGTTTCATGAACTTTGGGCTGTTCCAGACTGCACTGAAGCTATTTCAAAAAATACCACAATGAAACTGAATCACTGGTTGAACTATAATTTCATACAATACAATAAAAATGTCATTTTAGTGACTCTGGCAACATGGGGGTTAAACTTTACTACACAAACAATGACTGGAAAACACGTCGATGCTTAGTACATTTCCAGTAACTTTCTGGAGGATGTGAACTGTCAAATACAGAGGTTGTGAATATATTTAACAGGGCATCTCAAACCAAAGTAACTTCGTACTGTACATGAAGACTCAACAAAATTCATTAGAACAATTAGTTAATCAGATGCATATTCTGATAATGAGCTAACAGTGATACAAATAATTGATAGTAAACTGTATTAGACCTGTGGTCATAGGCGCTTTCATTTTAAACGTTACCAACATATAACAATGCTGCTGTGTTCTCACTTCTGGATGTTGCAAAGCAAACAGATGTTGTACATATTATGTCTTTAACTGGCAGTTAGTATTACAGAGGAACTTGGTGTGTAAATATGTTGTTCTGTAGCTTAATAACAGTGATTTCAGTGTCTTTGAGGAAAGAAGTAAAATATAACAATTTGCATTCACAAAAGAAAAGCATTCAATGGCACTACACAACATTGTTTGCATGAATACAAATCTCAGCTGAGTGAATAGTCAAGTTTGAATAGTGTGAACAACAGAATTCATACAACGGTGAAACACAAACAGTTGATTAACTTTGTGGCAGGACAGTTCCGTGCACTAGATCGACATATTTTGGAAAATAGTGCATACAGTTTGGTTGGACTGGAAGTCTGTGAGATTTGGACTTGAGAAGACACCTAGAGACACCTTTTTATACTGTACTAGCAGTTTTCACTTCCCACCACAGACTGTTCATATGCTTCCCACTTGTGTATCAGAAATAGTCAACCGCATGAGTAAGACTTGCAGGTGGGCGTGAGCATCTTTTTACAGTGTGTTGCCTGGCTGGAAAATCCTTGGAAGTAATGAAACATTTTACCAGTTAACCTTATTTATTAAAACAATTTGCCAAGTGTGTCATGAATGTCCTTTATTCAATGAGTCCTTTATATGGTGCTCTGAGATAAGAAGTGGAAATGGATCTGTTTAACAGCAGCAGGTAAATATGGTCATGTAGTAAGTTGTTTGTCAATCAGACAAAAAGCTGTTTATATGTCTTTAGTTGACCCATTTATTTGAGTAGTAACAGACAAAAAAACCTTTACTTTGCTTCACAACATTTTTACATTCATCCTGACAGAAGTTCATTAATTGTTAACTTCCAACACTGGAGACGTCTACTGCTACTGTACCACTGGTTTCAGACTGTCCAGTCCACATACATTCTTTTATAAATGCTGAGTTTTAACTATGCTGTAAACTCTGAGCCTCCATCTTCACACTGAAAATGACTTTTGTTGTTGGTCTTAATGGATCACTAAGACCAATCACCGCTCTAATACTGGGGCTTCATCTACAGTATGTTCTAGGATAACCATGCTGGTACTGATGAGAGGCACTATTACACCAATACGACACTGGTTCAACACTCTGCTGCTACTTCTCCCATAAATATATGCATCAGACTGTCTGTTGGCAGTGACTTGTTTGAATGCATTTGGAAGGTTTCCTTGAAAATGAGACGCAAGTTCAAAAAGTGACATTACATTAACAAAATCTAAATTAACTTTTGAATGATTTTTAGTCATTTAGGTCAACATTTTCACAGGATTCCTCCATTTTATTTTTTAGAAATACTGGATGATAAACTTAGCTTATGAATCTCTGGATGTACATCATTTTGAAATCAAACTTTAATAACTTCATTTTCGTCTGTCTTTTTCTTAAACACAATTCTTACTTTAGTCAGCGATAGTCATGGCCATCCAAAATGTATGTGACCAACTGATATTGCTGATGTTTTTAAGTTGGACTTTAAACATTTTTGATGACGATACACATGTAGGAAATGTTTTGAGGTTAAATGATTATTGAGAGCTTTAGGTCTCAATCATTCTTTGCTGAAAATCAAGTCTGACAAAGTCTAGTGCTGTGAGCTCTCAAAACATCAGTAATCCTCATATAACTGTGAGTGTTCTTCCTGATCAACCTGTTTGATCTGCTGAGAACTATTTGATCTTCCTTTTTAAATAAGTAAACTATTTAACAAAATATTAAGAATTTGGGCTTGTTACTACTATTTAGTTATTTTTTTTAACCGTATCATCCATGGACACTGCACGTAATCCAACACCTAGCAGTAGAGCAGTGCCAGACATTTTGAGTATTAACAGCATCTATAAATTGTCCAGTAAAGAATTTAATTTAATTTATGTCCGTAACTTAAATAATGTGACAAATGTAGTCATTTTAAGCCAAACAACGATGTTTTAGTAAACATAATCAAGTAGTTGTTTTTTTTGTGTTTTGTTTTAATTTCCAAAGTTAACCATGTGTTTAAAGCTGTAACATTGTCCAGGAGTAAATCTGTTTCTTAGAAACTTAATTGAGAAAGCAGTTTAGATGTATGTGTATGCAATTTGGTAGGAGACTGAGTTACATTTACACAATGTTGATTTATTTGAAATGACATAATATACTTAAATGTTAAGGTCCATTAATATCTCAGTAACTACTGACAATAGCACTGTATGTGTCACGTGTCTGTTATAAGTGAGTTATGTAACTTTTGTGTTTTTGTTTTAGCAGTTGGATTATATGAATATCGATGACAACATATTCATCACTGTGCCCTCCTGAGGAGCAGTGATTGATACCGAGTCCTGTTACAGTACACTTCACTTTTTACGTGGCATCTTTAATACTGCCCATCACATGCACAACTGCACATACTATAGTCCATGCTGATTAATTCAACACTCAGCAGCTACTGTTTCAGCCGGATGCTTCGAAAGTCCCTCATACTGTCACTTCTGTCTTGCTGTTGGTTACAAAGTATGGTTGTGGAGGCATGTAGCGAGTGGTGTGCAGCTCCTTCTCTATGATGCAGAGTTTCTTTGGGCCATAGCTCTGTCTGAGTCCCAGCATGTCCCTGCTCTCCCAGGATCTTAGCACACCCAGGCTGGCAGCAGTGTTGGAGCTGTAGGACAGCGACTGGGAGCTGTGGCTTTTGGGGCTTTTGTACTTGTGACCATTCTGCTTTGCAGACACCTGTCTGGGTGGGCTGTAAGGATTACTCGGCTCTGGCTCCATATCCACAGCTTCCATGGGAAGGCTTCCCTTGGTTGTCATCTCGATCACTTGCTGCCGGTTGCTGTAGAAGCTGTCATTAGCTTTCTCTGCTGCCAAATAAAATGAAACATGATATTTCTTTGCCATTTTACCTTCATTAGCCATTGCATTGTGTCCTTATCGTAGCGCTAGACAGGCAGATGAAAATAGACCTATAAATTTTGTTGCTAGAAAAACAGAGAAGTAGTCCAACCCCACATCAACAAGCATCACAATAACTTGTTAAAATAGGGTTTTACTGTATGCAAAACACACTCGTATATATATTTACATACATACTGTATATGTATAAATTTAATTTTATTACATTTTTTATTTTAAATCTGTATGTATAAAGCTGTATGTATAAAGCTGTGTTTTTTTTTAGTTGGTTTCACTTAAATCATTTGAGCACTGAAGAAATAACTAGTTGTTTTCCATATCAATGTAGTAGTAGTTATACTATAAAAGTAAATCAAAAATAGAATTCTAACCTGCTATATTGTTAATGCAGTAACCCTCATTAAAATCATGTTTAGTTTCCTTAATAGTAATAATAGATAACGGTATTTGCATCTTTACAACAAGGATCTGCCCTTGATGTCTTGTCTTTGATGTTTTATGCAAGCTTATTTTAGGAGAATATTAACAGTAAATAAAAATATGAATTATGTCCTTCACCAACAAGTTAGGGCAGTCTAAGAGGCAAAACCCAGGGCATAGAAAGTCTGCTAAGCAGTGGCCGCACCGCTCATTAGCATGTCACAATGTAATGAGCTGACATGTTTCCCCTATCCCCAGTGAGAATTACACCCTTGGTGCACAGTAATGCAGTTTAGAATGCTAATAGTGTTTACTACATTGTGGAAGCTTAACAAAACCTATTACAGGAAGTCTGATCATGCTTAAATATATATTTTAACATTATGCCTTCCTGTCAGCCATTACATAAAATTACATTTGTGCCAATTATTATTGTCATAAACTTTCAATGTGATAATTGATAAACAATTGTATTGCTTTACGGTGCAACCCATGGGGGTCTTGGACCGTCAGGGCTGAGCGGATTACATACGTGTGCTGACATGTATGACATGCTATACGCCTCATGCCCCCATTGGATATTTGTTCTAGCGCCGACACTGGTGTTATTAAAGCAGTGGCAATGCCTCCCACTATCCCTGCAAGTAAGCTGTTGTGTTGTTACTGCAGTCAAACAGTATCTCCAGCTCAAGCTTGCTGGGTTTTGTCCAATCATATCGCAGCTCATTTGTAAACAGCCTCTCAGAGCCTAGGTGGGTCCTGGTTGTATTTGAGACCTTTTTGACGAGAATAGGTCATTGCTATTGGGTGAAAACAACATCTGATATAATTCCTGACTACTTAGTCGACTACTTAGCAGTTGGATGACTACTAAACTGCAGCAGCAGAACTCAGTCCGGCTGAGGTGGTTTTCCAGCAGATCACTGTACACTACATCATGTCTTCTAGCATTGGTCTTGCCATAATCAGCTGCTGCAATTTGTTATAAAACCACTGCAGTGTGACTTTATATCTCCGATCAGGTTCAGACAATCTATGAAAACTGTTTACTTGAGCACTAATTGAACCTGAGCACACAAGCTCCAGCATTAGCCTTTTCTAACATTTCAGACTTCTTTTAAAATTTAAATATCCCTCAGGTAACCTTTAATGAGGTCTCTTCATCAGCAGCAAGCGGTGGCTGATCTCTAGGTCTTTCTTCATGGACCAGGAAAGAGATGCATTGATGAGCAGCTACTTCAGTAAAACCCACATCAGTGCTGGTAGATCAACACACCTGATCACCATATACAGTACTGTATAGCTGCATCTCATCACCACTCCCCAACTCGTTTGTGTTTTGATTGCTCCTGATTGTCTCCTGCCCCCAGTCTCATTAGCTAAGATTTGCTCTATTTTTATTTTCCCTAATCAGTTTGTTTGACGGCACTTCAGCGGATTAGCAGCGAGAAGCTTCAGCTGCTCATGTGAATCACAAAGAGTGAGCTGTTTCATGTGATTGGACCACACACACACTGAGCTGTCTTTCCGTCCATCACAGCCAATTGATTAATCTATAAATAGACTCCCGTTTCACTGTGCTAAATATCATCAAATACAGATCCACAAATACCTTTTATTTCACACTTTGATTCCGCATATTTATTTTATTTTTTCTCTGCTAAATTTTAAAACTTAAGCACCCAGGCAAAGAGGAGTGTTGGCCAAAATAGAGGTCAGGAAATGTAAAACTATTTGTTCTTTGAAATGCCACTGTGATTATTTTTGCAACAGAAATATGAAAAGCGGTCAATTACTTTAAATACGGCAGAATTTTTGTTTTTCATTTTATTAGATAAGTCAAATTGTAACCACTGAATAAATTCTTTGGGATTTAATATTACAAAGAGAACTCTAAATGTTGCCTTACTGTATGTGCTCCACTACACTGTAACATATAGACGGTCAGCATCACCTGTTGGCTGTCATCAGTATTTTAATGTGAGCTCACATACACTTTTTTTCATTTTATGATTTGAAGGGTTGTATTTTTATTTACATTCGTAGACACTACAAACAGGCTTTTGAAAAATGATGTTGCATCATCTTGCTGTGTGATACTATTTTGGTATTTGAAGTTATTTCTTGATTCAAATGCTGTTTGTCCAGACACTGGCTGCAGACTGTCTAAAATTAGCACATGAGAAGAAAAACAAACTTGCTTCTTTAAATACACTTTCAGTTCCCCTCTCTGTTGGCATTGATGGACTATGGATTATCTGACAAAGAGGCTCATATTTAAAGAAAAATATCATTTTGAAGTACATGTCTAACAACACGTTGTGTAAACAGGATTCAAGAAGTAGATAGTAAATAAAAGGCTAAAGAACGGTCAAAGCCACATTGTCTTACATCACAGTGAAGTGCACAAATAACTGCAGCTGTAGCAGAACATTTTAGCAATGGCTTTTTTTTTTGGTCTGTTGAGACAAGCAATGTTTGACTCAAAATGAACCACTTTTAATTTTACTGCGATGCCATAAAAATCAAAATTTATGCATTTGCATTTAAAACATATATGTGTGTGTGTATGTACATGTACATGTACATGTACGTATATATATGTATATACATGTACATACACAATTTATAAGTTGGTGAGGAATAAAATTAATATATATAATATACTGTATAAATGTTTATTCTGGTTCACTCAATTAAACCTTGATGCTCTTTCTTATATGATGCAGAGAACCCCTGATTCATTATGCTGGTTCCATTTATAGAGGATGTAATGTGCTACTTAATTAGATAAAAACCTTACCCACAGCCTTCAGCGTGGCGTACTTGTTGAGATCCTTGACGGGCTTCTGTTGTTCATAGGGGCTGGGAATCTGTCCCACAGCCGGGTAAAGCTGTGTTATAAAAGTCGATGCCTGAGCCATGTTGTTCATCTGGCTGCTATCTAAAGGAGGGAAAACACAAATTATTAATGCAAGAAATCCCTTGATTTCCCTTTAGGACTGGGCGATAATTCAATATGATGATTCATCATCTTTCAATGGAATCTTATTGTGATGAAATCATATCTTGAGATATTTCGTGATACACAATAATAATAACAAGAACATATTATTTCTCAAAAATCTGATCATTTTGAACTGATGTTCCTACTAAAATGATTTAAGTACTTAATTCACACAAGAGTATACAAAATTAGGCTTTACCATGTGGTTATTTCATATAGACTATTTATTTATTTATTTATTTATTAATCAGAAAACATGCTACGTTGTGATATATATAATCATCAAGATATGAATTGCCTGTAAGGGGATGGATAGAAAAGATATTAGCCAAATGTCTCAGCCTTGATTCCCTTTATTGCTGAAGCAGTATGTTCAAATGTGTATACCATCTGCATTAGCTTATACAAGAGGTGATATAAAAATACAATTATTCATTTAAAGTGGCTTGGTTTTCTCTAAGTGGTGCTTCCATGATCCCCAGATGTAAATCATCTTGATGGATGAATGTGAATATAGAATAATTGTTGCTGTAACTTGGTAGTGTCACTTTCCCTTAAGTACGCTTTTCTGGGTGCCCAGCTGGAAAGAGTCATGACTGCTCTTTGTGGATCTGCACTAATCCTACAGTAGACATCTGGTAAATTAAGGGGTGCACAGCAAAGAGACTGGCCTTCTGGCAAGGCAGAGCAAACAGATGTTCAGAGTGTCTTTTCTCTGTTTAGTTGAACGTACTAATTCACAGGCGGGAGTTTGAAGACACTGCTGTGTGTTCTATATATCAGAGTAGAGATATCAACATGTTTAGGAGCCACTACTTGATGCGTATAGTTTTGCTTATTCATTATTTACTTGCTGCTTTTCAGCTTGACCTCTTACAAAGTCACAATTAGTTATGTTTAAATGAGGTGGTGACTGAACACTTGGTCAAATTCCCAAAAGAATTGCGCTGCTTTTGCGACCGCTAAACCTGTGCAGATAAGACAAACAGAAACCATGTAATTCTCAAAGCACCCGCAAAGGGTGAAATGCAACCCTCACTGTGCTGCACCTGTGCTATTTGCATGTATTTACATCAGATAATATGCTCACATTTGGTGCAAAATCGTCCCCTTTCTATGCAAATTAGCCTCATTGCCAAAAGAGTCCAATTCAGAAAGATCAGCGCTAATAGCCACATGCAGTTAGAGTGAAATTATTGACGACTTCAGAGAGTTGGTAGTAACTAAAGCTTATTTATAAGGGGTGTCCGCTCAAACTCATTTATTGTGGGATGCAGTGTCAGGATGCAGTGACAGTTGCGACATGAAAAATAAATAAAGATCCCCAACATGTCATTTTGGCACATACATAAGAGAAAAACTAAATTTAAAGAAGTAATGCTACTGTAAGTATTCAATAAGCTTAAAAAATGTCTGAAACGCCACAATAAACTCTTAAAATTAGACGATGTAATAAATATTTTCATTATTAATTATGTATTTATTCACCCGTCAATATGGGCACATAGAAAGGAGTCGGAGTCCGGTCCATATGGCCCGAATCGACAGGCTTCTTGCTCAATGCAATGGCCTCAAGCGCATTTATACGTTGCCATTTCCAAATTGTCCTTAGCTGCCAAACTTTATGGGTGTGTTTACGCTGTAATATCATTAGGGCAATATCTCTGGTGAATGGGACCTTGAGACGGGGCAGATAGCAGTTGCAAATGATGTTTGTGTTATTTGTTATGATGCAATTGGTTTATTCTAAAGGTACCCTAGCTCAGAGGAGTTTCCAGTATTTATTCACTGAGTCTGGCACCAATAACTTGAATATGAGCATAAAAAGATGTCCAACTCATCACTGCTGTTGTTAATGGTTAATGTTTATAAACTTTAAATTGTGGGGTGTCCACTAGTCCTTGGGCTAGAATGTGTCTGATAAAAACAGATCATTAATAACGAAAATAGGTTAATTAGGCTCTTATTCCCCGCTGGTCAGCAAGAAACTTTATCACTGTGCTAATTAATTTTGGAAAGTCTCAAACTGTGAATGCTGTCTACTGAAATGATGCAGAGGACAGCTTTGACTATTCTTTCCTTCCACCACACCTCAACAACGGGGTGGTGTCCTCAGATTTTGAGGTTATTGGAGGTACCACTGTGTTCTCCTTGTGATGAGGCTGTCTCATTACAAGCTCCTGTATTATCCTGTTTTATTGAAAGCCTTATTAAATCTAGTCGTTGAGAAAGACAGCACAGCACCCTCATTAAATCTTTGACAAATGCTTTACCAACAAAAGTAACCAAATTCTCAAAGTGTAGCCGGCAGTCTCTGCATCAAATCTGTTGCCTTGTCGGGTTCCTTTCAGGGCTTGTTGACCTGTTTCAGTTTCATATAGTTGGTAATTGGGCCATGCACTCATGCTCTCATTCAATGTGATCTTGTTTAAGCTAAAAGTTAAATTAGATTATCTGCTTCCATACAATACAGTGAATGTACTTCACTTGTAATCTGTAATACATGATTAATACTGTTTTTAGGAAACAATAAAACATAAAGATCAATTTAGTTTTCTTACAGATGAGCTCAACAATGACCATTGTGCTGATCTGATGGTCAGGGTTTCCCCTTAAAGGTAGAAGCCCACCGAAGGTAAATAATTTCAATAGGTTTCGATGTACACTGAATCATTTGGCCAACTTATCTATTTTATTGTCATCCAATTAGTTTTTGAGGGTCTCTGAATGTCTCTGGTAGCTCAGACTTCCTCTATATGTAGTCTAAGATTTCATTGTTTATAAATACGGAGAGTGCTTTTTGTGAATATTTGGTACAACTTTGTTATTTTCAGGATACCAAACGTGGTTTAAACTGAGGTGCTGGTGTATGTATACTTCTTTTTCTCCCTCTTTAATGTTTCTTTGACTTTGTGCTGCTGACTGTCATTTGAGCTTCTGTTTGAGTTCTGTTGTCAAAGTCACAGCTTTTATGTCAGCTGCTGGAAAGAAGTAGGCCACTTCTGGAGACTTGTAAGGTTAAAGACTCCATGGTTGTTGCGGGAAATAAGCGCATTAACACTCTAGACACAGACGCCACCCTGGAACTCATAAAAGATTTAAGAGAGTATTTTGGGAGCTGTATGCCCTGAAATAAATGGTGCAAGGAGAAGGGCGCTCTTATTTACAGGCAGCCTACTTTCAAGTTGGCGAGGAAAATATCATTATAAATGTTATCTCTGAGTCAATATCTTTCATCTTCTAATTCTTTCAAATTGGTGGTGATTTTCTAAATGTACCCATATTAGTCTATTATGGAGTAGTAAAGACTTATACACATATTTCTTTACTCATGTCCAACATTAAATTAGGGTACAAATAACAGTTGCACCCATAAAATTCAGAACTATTTAAAAACTATTAAATATACATTAAATAAGTGGTCAATATGGTGAAAGTTGAAGATAACAAGCCACTCACTTTTCTCATTTCACAAACTAAGAGTGAAACAATCTATATATCCATCCACTTTTTGTAAGCTCTCTCCATTGTCATTTTCTAATTATCTCCATAAATATTTGAGGCTTCAGTTTACAGTCTGGAGTACAGTATATGGCAGGTAGAAAATCAAACCTACATTTGGTATCAATTTCTCAGCTGCTGTCAGAGGTAATGCTGCTGAGATACATTTCTATCTGGCAGTGGGGAAATGGACTGTCATGCACCAGTGGAGTGCTGGCAGTGAGCGGAGACTTTGTTCTCTCTGGCTGACTGCCTGGAGTAAAAAGAGGCCACACTTCACAATTGCCCCATGTGCGCACATGGCCAGCAGGACATGAACATGATAGTACTGGTAGCCAAAGAAGCCCAGCTCGCAAAGTCTGCATTACTGGTGTCTTGAGGAGAATGACAGGTCATAGCCCATTCTAACAGGTTTTTGTTATCTTTGACAGGCAATATGAGGAACAGGGGCACCCTTAGGAGCAATTCAATCACTGATTTGCAGCGCTATCCGTAATAAACAGTGACTATTATAGCTGGGACATTCTCATACCTGCCTCTAGAAAGCACAGCTGGAGAGGGCAAGTACACTGATCCATGTGGCAAAATATATCACCTCACCTCTTGTAACCTTGTAAGAATAGCTGTCAAGAAAACAACAGTCATCCCTGTGTGGCTGCCAGCACTATTGCACAGAATCTCTCCCTTATATCCCTGTAAGATAGTCACTGTCCAATTGCTCTCACTGTCCAACGTCACCAAACTAACGTAGAGCTACATTATTTTCTTCAATGAATTAGATAGTTAATATTCAACTTGAATGAAACATACGTTGTTTTAACATTTATACTCCAAAAGGGCTTGTCTGAGGCACACGTCTTGGCTTCAGCGTTTATTTCGGCGTCATGTCTATTTTTACAACAATACAATAGTAAATGTGAGCCCAGTAAAAAGCCACAAAATAACTGATTCTGACCACAGAGCAGTGACTGAGCTGCTGCAATGGGTGTGTGTCAGACAGGCAATAAAAGGTGATTTAATAAGAAAGGGTTTTTGAGTGTGCAGCCATAAAGCAACACCTAAAATATTATGCAGCACAGAGATTCACACACACATGCGCACACTCACTCGTGCACACACACGACCGATCTCATTATCAACTGATAAAGATAATAATAATAATCTTGAAAAAATACTTCAGATGAGATGACAGACTTAAGTAAAAATCTATGTATAATGATCGTCAGGCACACCTATAGTTCCTGACTCAAAGAAAGTAGCAGCTGGGGTGAGACCACTGCACATTTTCCAAAGCAATTCTTTTTTCTTTCTTTTTTACAGAAGTGACATAACCTTTAAATAGGTGTAGTCACTGCACTTGTTTCACAGTGGCTGACATTATTGATCATTTTCTTTTAATTTACTGTACTCCAGGGACCAGCAGGAAAAATGTTTTTTTTTTTAAATCAGGACACAAGTTCCTCAGTGTTTTCACCAACAGTTTGTGTAATGTTAGATAGGCAGATACGAACTCCTACCCCTTTGTTGAGGTTCACTCTATTATAACACTGTATAGTATACTAAGGAAAGCATATCTCTCACTCCTAACGTGTTGGCTGGTTTGTAATAAACCGATAATTATTCTGTGAGAAGGCAAGGTAAGACAGAAAGCGCTCTGATTTTAGAATGATTAATTATTAACATGTCACTGCCGACACCTCACCTCAGCTGTTTTTACAGAGTAAAAAAAATAATTAAGCTCAGTTAAAAACAAAAATCAAGACATCTCTTGAAATAGAATACCTCTTAAATATCTGAGGTTATTTATGTTTGATGTTGAATTGCATTTGTCACTTCAGTGATATTTATAGTAAATGAGATGGGATAGTAAAATGGGATTTCAAAGTTGACATAAAGCACAGCGGCCTTGTAGCAGCCATGTTAAAAGATCAGCTTTAGGTTTAAGTTAAACAGCACATGCAGAAAGCTGTCTGTGTTTGACTACATAACCTTTTAGTAACCAAATAATATACATTCCCTGGATTGCTACTATTTTGGCGGTCACTCATCAAGAATATAAATAGTTTGAGGGCAATTCAGTGTTTTAGATAATTGAATTTAATTGTAATTTCGTGAGGTATGACAGAGGTAATTGCCCGTGGTCATCTTCCATGTGTGCCAAGAACGGGAAGGTTTTCATTACAACCACAAATTACACCAGGTGTTTCCCTAATTGGCAAACCTTCCAAACTAATCGGTGAAATCACCCACTATACTCTTCTGCTGTAATGAGCACACGCTCACTTCTGGCCTTCCATAGCACAAGAATAATCACTGATATTGATTTGCATCTGCCTGAAGTAAAACGTCTTGAGAAGCATCTAAGCAAAATTGGTACATCACTTGATTAATTATTTGTATTGTTATACTATCACTGAAGCACCAAGTCATAACCTGGCTTGATTCATTATTGTATTGATTCATTGGCTTCTAACTTCTAGTGTTAAGGATGTGAGGTGTATTTCTTTTACTATACACTTCATTGGAAAATCAGTATCAGGAGAGTTTGTACTCAGTTGAGCCAAACTGAGTACAAATTTAGCATTTCCTTTTTTTAAAGCCAATTACTGAGTTAGAGCAAGTGTTTATAAATGAAGAATACAACTGTAAAAATGCTGCTTGACTGTCTTTAAAACTTTTTTTTATGCAAGATGCCATTTGCCATAATTACTCGCGGGGCGGGGGGCTGGCTGGCTGGCCGGCCATTAAGCAGGGCACATTTCTATGTGTGTTGGTGTTGATGAACAAGAGTGTGATATAATGTGTGAGGCGGTTGCATACTATAAGTATTTGCTAAGAAGCAGAGCTCTAGGTTGTCGGTGGTAATTATTGTACTTGTTAAATGATTGCTGATGGCATGACTAATTGCTTCACCAGCCCGCAGGATTGTTGAGGGACCTTTTTTTCCCCTTCCACCACTTCAGCTATTTCAGGACGGGCATGCAAATAAACAGTGATCACAATTTCAGTTTTATATTTGTTTAAAATATAATCGCTTCGCTTAGTTTATGAGTATCTATTGGAAATGGTTGTGGTGGTGCAACTTCGGTCAGCAAAAGCAGATGGCGGCAGCAGCATTAGTAAATATATGCAACCCAGTGTTTCAACAAACTGCTCCGTCATGTGAACATATACCGTATGTAGGTGTATAGCTCGAGGATGTGTGTTGCTGATGTCACAGTACTTACGGAGACTGTTAACTGTGACTCTGGTCTGTATGTTCTCATAGTGCTGGCCAAGTCCAATGTCGTCCGTATGTTCCGAGGCAGGATGGCGGATAACATGTGCAAGAGCTCTGGAAAGATAAAGAACAATCTCAGACAACACATTTTTTCAGTAAATAACAAGTGCAGATTCTTTGCAGGCCAGCAGTGCACCCTGGCTTTCACAGTTCTCCTAAATCACAAAGTAAAATGATTGTCTGAGTTCTCCGAAATAAGCCATATGACAGTTCCCAAAACATTTTTTTAGCCATATAAGTTTACAGAGGTTATATACTTTGTTCAGGTTGAGGAAAGGTTATGGTAAACAGGAGGCAGGAACACAAACTGCTGGCTCTGGTGTCAAAGTCACCAGAAGGGGTTAAAATTGAAGCAGCAGAGGCTGAGATATTCTGACCTTTAGTCCTTAGCAGTGTTGGAAATTAGCTTTTTCTTCCACTAGCCACACTTTTGTGTGTGACGTTTCTCTTGCACAAATTTTTCATCAAAAAATGATTAATCTAATATTTATTCACTTAAGATTATCCATTTTTAATGATCTCTCCACACACATACAATCCCTCACTCTCAGACAATAAACTACACACTGTATGGACCATTTAAAGTTGGTTTACAAATAAAATCCACTAATAAGAATCTTATACTGATTGGTTGAGTAGAGACGTAGCCTAATTTTACGTTTCGCAACTGCAACAATTAATCGTTTGTTAAATGCCACCGTTGTTTACCCACCAATGGGGCTGGTATCCAATGGATCCTACATTTCCCATCATGCAACTCAATAGCATCTTTCTTAAGACCCTCTCTGCCGACTTCATGCTTCACAGCTCAACTTCTTAACGCTGGTTTTCTGTTTAAAAAAGTCTGGGCATAATTAATGAAGAGTTTCTGATACCAGAGGGGTTGCTAGTGGCTATTGGTAAGAATGTGACAGCAATGGCAGTTGGGCAACTGAACAAACGATGGTATTCAGATGAGGTTTCCCATCAAGTCAGCTGAGCCATCCAATGTAGTTTAACCTGAGCGGATGCAATGTAGATAAGGCTGGGTCATGCCGCCGAGTATCTGCTCTTTGTTTGGGAGCTTGTAGGATCTAAAGGCAGCTTACTGTAGGTTGGGTTAGGGTGTCGCCAGTCAGAAGGTTCAGTAGATTTAAGACGGCACAGCCTGATTCCCACTGCAGGGCCCAATGATAGGTCAAAGCATCATTAAACATGAATACTGGGCTTCCATAGGAACGCTCACCCAACATTTGGCACATTTTACATTTAGTGTTGGGTGTGGTTGGGGTGAGTAAAAGTGTGCTCGGTCGCATCTTTAGTTACACTCCCCCAACAGTCGCAATTATACACTAATAATCCACCATTGTTCCGAATATAGCAGTATTCCAAATTTGATACGGGTATATTCTGTTTGGATATTCCGTATGTTGCACTTTCTGATTAAGATGTGTGATATGCCGATATTAGCATTTTAGGAGCATTCTTTGGACATTACATTACAGTCATTTAGCAGACGCTTTTATCCAAAGCGACTTACAATTCAGATTCTATCACATTTCTACACCGTAGAACATCTACGGGAGCAATTCTTGGGGTTAAGTGTCTTGCTCAAGGACACATCAACATGCGATTAGCGGAGCCGGAACTAGGGATCGAGCCACCGATCCTCTGACATGTATACAGCGCATTCGGAATGTGCGTCTCAATTGGGGTTTTTACTTCAGTTTGTGACGCATGGCATCTTACCTGTTTACAGTCAGCTCTGTGCGTTGTCAGAAAGAAAAACACACCTACTTTTAAGCATGATGAAAGACTTGGTTTTCAACAGGTTTTTGGACACTGTAACGCCGACCTTTTCAAGAAGGTGGGTGAAGGAGTGAAAGAGAGAGGGCTGTATTCCCATTGTCAAACATCCATGTAAACAGGAATATTGGTGGAATATTCATTTTCATTAGCTATGTAAACAGCTTAGTAGGAATATTGTCTTTTTCGGAATAAGGGCATAACACGGAATATTGTATATATGCAAATGTAATTGGTGATGTCAGAGTGTACCGAAGCTAACCCAGGGTACACTTCTATAGTGGACTGCAGAAAGGTGAGAACTTTAACACTGGGGGTCAGCCAAAACGATGCGTTCAACTGGTCTTAAAGGAGCAATATACGACATTCAGAGCATTGATAGAGCAGCAAACAACTATTCGCTATGTAGAGATATAGTGGAGTAATGTCTACCTGAGCAGAGTAAGAAGTCACTCTCCCTCTGTGTGTTGTAATTCTAGCTTCTCCTTACTATGTTGACATAGCCGGGCCGCCTGCGCATGCTTTTAGTTCATGTTCATGCACGTGATTGTGCCCCATGCTGGTTAGCTCACAGCCGCTGCTCTGCACTGCGCTCATGCAGCGGTTACAGTTGATAACGACATTCCGACCGACCGCGTCTAGTGGAAGCGTAGCACCCACCCTCCAGTTCCCCCTCAGGTAAACACCGTTAGCTCTGTCAGCATGTTTGCCGTAGTTTGTACTGTCAGCAGCATCCGCTTCGAGTCGCCGGCTAAGATATCGTCATGTTGAGAGCCGTTATGAGACAATCAAACCTTGCACTTTTAAGCTTTTCTTTCAAGTCACAGAGAAGCCGCTGGGGCAAGTCATGTTTTTACTATCGTATGTCACCTGGATTGTAATTTTGTAAAATATATCAAAAACTCTTTAGGAGCTCACTATGTTCAGTTCCTGTTCACTTCAAAAGCATTTGTAGCTTATAAGATCAGTCCCTTCCAGGTAATAAACTTTTTCATGTAACTTCATCTGAAAAAAACTCTACACTCCTTCGAATTCCACCTCATCTAAATAACAGTGCAGAAGTCAACTGGTTATGGCGCAGTGTCTTAAACATGCATTTGTTGCATGCAAAAGATGGAAACTATAGCCTGGACTGCTACAGACTACTCTTTAACAGGACAACAATGAACACAGTGTTTCCTCAGTGCAGACATTTTCTAGCAGTCTCTTGAGTAGACTGCAAGAGAAAGATTGAGTGTGTGTATATTTGTACAAACTATCTGCAAGTGTTTGATGTTCACAGCCAATCAACATTTTTACACGTAATAAAAACACAAAAGTCAACAACAAACTGTAGCTGCACATTTTGCAAATAATCAACAATACATTACATAATTGGATTTGCAAAAAAATATGTTTTTACCAAAACTGTACAACATTACAGCTGCCCTTGTGCTGGGTGTCAATTGAAACGTACAAAAAAATATTTATTAATAATTATAATATTTAACATATTTATTGACAAACCCAAACTAGATTTAGTATTTATTTTAGTGTTAACCATCCTTTACTTTCTGAGTTATAGTTGGACAAAAAAAACTGCCTTAACTAGAGCAGGCACAACTGTACCATTATAAATTAGAGGCCAAGGACAATGTAATACATATCAAAAACACGCTTTTGTCAGTAACACTGTCAACATTGTGCTTATGACTTACTGGCTGAGAGACATAAAACTGATTTAAATTGATGTTGAGCTGAACTGCAGAAGGCTGCAACAGCTGAATCCATTTTTCTAAAATCCCAGGTGGATATGACTTTTAGTGGGTTACACGGTTTTATTTACAAAACTACTTGTTGCACACATAAGCGAGTTAATAGATGGTAAGGCCCAGTAACACATAACAGATCAGGTCTAAGATGTTTTCACAGATCAAATCAGCGCAATGACGGGACAAATAACGAACATTGTGGATGACCTACCTTGACATATTTTCTCGGTGCGGACGGTGCGTCTTTTCCAAACCTAGCTTGGTGAAAATTCCTATCAGTGCCATTATGGCCACGACCCCGCATATCACGTACACAATGAGGTTAGTTTTATCCTTCGTGGCGTCCAGCGACACGTCCACTTTCGGTGGGGGTCTTCCTGTCATCATCCACGGCGGGGTGTCGTAGTTCTTACAGTTGGTCTGGTCCAGTCGGGAGCTTTTAAACTCGCAGCAGAACCTGAAGCCACAGGTGCCGCAGCAGTACAGGTAGCTGCCCGTCCTACACACGAACGGCGGATCCCACTGGCCCATCACGTCGTAGTAGCCGCGGCACTTGTCCTCCACATGCGGGCTCTCCGTGACCCCGCTCTCCCCTTCCTTTGAGTCGTTAAACTCGGTCACCAGCATGAAGTCGTCGACGGTTTGACCCGGCTCGCCCTCCGCGTTGCACACCATAATTTTCACTAGAAAGTACCCGAGCAACAGCTCAGTGCCCCGCATCGCTGCTCACTTTGTACCCCGCTCTTGACGCCCTGAGAAGCCCTCACAAGCTCGGATGCATCTTCCGAAGAGACGAGACACTGCCATGCGTAAATGTATTTAGGCTGATTCCAACTTCCATGCGTAAAAGCACAGTGCGCTCCTGTTCTCTGATCTCCTTGGGGGGGGGGGGATGGTTATTGTGCAAATGTATAGGTTGGGCTTTTTCCAAAGTACCGTCTACTGTAGTAAATAATTGGAGAAGGGTAGCATCACTGAAGAGGTGCGTGCACCTGTCTGTACTGGAGGGTATCAGACACCTTTGAGGCTGCTTCTCTCTACAGAGTCGGTCACAGATACACACGCACACAGAGAGAGAGAGAGATAGAAAGAGAGAGAGACTATTAGAGAAAGACGATGCAAAGCAGAAGAGACCCCAATGAGTGAGTGAATCAGGGGGAGAAGAGACTTGAGAGGTAGCTTTGGGCAATGGATCTATTACAAGACTTTTATTGTCTTACAATTTTAATCATCATTGATCCAAAACACCCCAATAACAAAATTCAAAACACAGCATTTACATGAGTAGAGAAATATACAAAACACAAAAGTGACTTTGCCCATCTGTTTGAATAGGTCTGTAATTAATGTGCTTAAGAGTTACTGACTGAGTTTTGGCTGTAGATTCATTAATTGCAGAATGGCACACATGGGTAACAAGGCATTGATCGGCTCTCTTACATCTTTCAGAATATTCAGTGTGTGTTTGGACACCTGTTTGGTTTGAGAAAAGTGATGATGATATCTGTCCATCTGAACGTCCATCTTTGGTTCATAGAAATAAAGGATCACAACAGCTCTTTGCCACATTGTAATTCTTGGTTTTAAGATGACCATCCTTTCTGATGACGTTTCTGTCCCCCTGCTCTTTCATCTTGCAGCAACACTTTGGTTCTTGATCAATGAGTCAGAAATTAGGAAGGATAGGGATTTTACATTTATTGCAATAGCATCATATCTTATCTGTTTCTAACAAAACGAGGAACAGATATCACTTACACGTTCTAGAAGTCAATATAATGAGAATATGCTGAAGTATAACAGTATTAATTGAAGCGTTAGCCCTTCTAGCCTCTGTTATTATCACCTCTCCCACACAATATGATATACAATATGACAAGTGATATCTAAGCAAACTCCCATCAAGGATACAGTTCTGTAGAGGATTCATCTTTGCAATAGAAGGATCTAATCAAATACATCGAACAGAACATAAGCACAAAAGGATAAAATAATGATACTATGTGCACACAAGGTATGATAATTCATTATAGCCACTGCATGGCATTCAAAAACCTGTATTAGTCTAGCTTAATTTAAATGAACTCTCAACCTGGTTTATACATGACTCGTACACCAACCGGTGCACTACTCACAGGCCTTGAATCTTGTTGTTTTAGAAATGAAAATAAGCCCTGAATATTATTACAGCGAGTAAGAATTATTGATGTAAGAATTATGCTCTGGATCAGAGTTTGATTAACCTTACAGTTGTCTTGTCAAATTGACTAATCATATGCAGAGCACTTTATTCCAATGTTCATTTCATCAGACCGTGCATGTTTCAACCATGCACCTTCAGCTATTAATTACTGACCGTTTACAAACAGTAACAGATGATGAAGGGGCCTTGACAAGCACGGATCTAGCTATTTATTTTTAGAGAAACCTTTTTATCTAAAATTAGGATTAGTGGAAGGAGGCTCACCATCTGCCACTTGAGAAATCTCGCGCTTTTTTTTTTTTTTTTTTTTTTTTTGTTTGATGTTGAATCGTCTTGGCCATGGGAGGCTACTGTTATTTACAATTGTCAGGGGAGGTTTTGCTTGTCTTGTCTTTGTGCTTCTTTAAAGTTCACTATAAATAATTTGCAAAACTTTCAAAGAAGAAACTTCAGAGTTCCTGTTAAAGTCAAAACAATACAGCTTAGGACCAGATCAAATCCAGGTGATATTTGATTTCAATGTTTAATTGTAAAAAAAATAGTCAACAGCTGCCAAATGCAACAAACGCAATATAGTTTGGTTGCTGTTTATGTCCTCCACCAGTTGGTATTCTAGCTGTGGAGTTGCTCAGTGTCATTGACACCCTCTGAAACATTGTTGATGAGTCACTGTGTTCATGAATCATACAGTGAAGTTAACAAAACCTTTATTCTTTACAGCTTTTCATGTAGATAGTGTTTTCACACCTTGCACAAAAACGGCAAAAGAACACTTGAAAAGTTGTCCCAAATATGTTTTATCTTATTTTCAACTCCGCCTTGAATATAATCCAAGATTTAGGCCTACTATATGAATAAAATCTAATGCGAGTATGCTTATGCAGAGCCTTAATTGGTTATATTTTTGTCCTGAAAAGGTCTCTTTCGTTATTACTGTTGTTTTTGTGCATGAGCCACCAAGATTTCAGATTTCACAATATATCTAATTAAGTAATGAAAAAATACAAAAATGAGATGATGCACAGTTCAACTTACAGCAGTAAGTCGTGTGTTGGGGTCTTGTTTTTGAAAGCGGAACAGGTGACATATATCCACAGGACAACTCTGAGACTACAGTAATCGCATGTGCAAGCATGAATTTCAACAGTTTGTGCTTCTGGGCTACTGCATAACTCTCACTGAAAATTGAGTGGCGCAAGTGAATCCAAGCCATGCTTTGGGTGGGAGCAGGTGGGAAGGCGACAAGGTTGTAATTCTGGTCAGACGGAGAGCGTCTGATTAAATCCGCACTGTGTGGATTTTGAATGTAATCCCCCTCTATTAAAATTTGAGCAATGTAAATGGACTGTACTTGTATAGCGCTTCTCTAGTTATCCGACAACGCAAAGCACTTTAACATTAAATATTATATAAATGATTTTGTAATTTGGGGTTCAGTATCTTGCCCAAGGACTCTTTGACATGTGGACTGCAGGGGGAAACCACCAACCTTCTGATTAGTGGATGGTGCTCTACCTCCCAAGCCACAAGGCCACATTTAAGTACATACAGTGGGTACGGAAAGTATTCAGACCCCTTTAAATATTTCACTCTTTGTTT